ATAACATCTTATAATTGGGACATGTTAGAAGTCTCAAATTTCCTAAACCTGTTGTCCGATTTTAGTGATTTTTTTAGTATGTTATTGTATATTATTTAAGAATATCGATGTAATAATATTGTTGCTAGACAGGTCAATGTCATTTTATACCGGGTGTAACAATCCTACTGTGTTTTTTCCATAAAGTTCGGAACACCCTGTGGAATATTCTAGCATATATAAAATATTGAAATTAAAACTTAATTATAGCCTCAGGCTTTCTTAACATTTTCTTTTTTGATTCACTTGCTTATGTTTGATAATAAAAAAGTTAGGTACGTTAACAATCAGCCATGTTTTTCATCAATAAATCCTCATTTTCTGCTTAGTTTAAAAACAAGCCTAAAGTAGGCTATGAGAAGTTAACAATTTAATGCACACACCGGCAAATTTAAAGGAACCTGTTATTAATGCAATATTTCTTTATATTTGTATTTTATAGACTATATCTACATAGCTTTGAAAGCTCCTTGTCACAAGAAAGTCTTAAATGTCAAAATGTCAAATTAATTTGTTTATTTGTATTGTGTTTTACATTTTACAGTCATTCTGTCTGTTCATAACAAGTACAAACTTGTATTTAATTGAGCGCACAATAAGAAAGAGACTTAAAGAAGCCGGTCTCAAGTCATATGTGCTAATAAATTTATTAAAGTTAAATTTTAAAGTGTTTGTTTGTCTTTGTTTAGTGTATTTGTTATGTCCCAATTTACATTTATGACATTCTGTTACTGCTGTATAGGCCACAACTGACGAAATGCCCTGAAGATGATCTTGTGATCGAAAGTACTTGAGCAAGATTTGATTAAATATTGTGTTCGATATTTGCCTTGTGTACCATTAAAATACCTATAACATACTAAAAAATCACTAAAATCGGACAACAGGTTTAGGAAATTCGAGTCATCTAACATGTCCCATTTTTAAGGTGTTCCGTTAATTTTGCTGGTGAGTATATATATATATATATATATATATATATATATAATATATATATATATATATATATATATATATATATATATATATATAAGGGGGTAAAGGAAAATGACATATGGCGCAAAAGATATATGAAACGGATGTTGGAGACTGAAACGCCAAAACATATAATGAGGTAAACACCAGTAGGGAGAAGGTCAAAGGGAAGACCCACACTTAGATACATGAACAAGTGTAACAAGATCTGAAAACACTTTAGCAAGATTACCAACTGGAAAAACAAAGCAAAGAACAGAACAGAATGGCGGAAAATCCTAGAACAAGCCAGATGATGATGATGAAGGTATAAAAAGGACTTTTTATTTCTCCATTTTTTTGTTTTTCTCTTTTCGATTTACTTGTTTATACTATATTACTGCCATATACAACTATATTACCTCCATATACCATTGTACTTATAATTTGTCTAGTATCATTATCTATAACAGCTCCACTAACTTTTGCATGTCTACTGTTTCTTGTCAGCAGGAAAGCAATAGGGCCTGATAATATCGAAGATAAATTTTTAAAACTCTTGGAGGAAGAAGGAATGATTTGGATCACGGCTGTCTTCAATAAAATTTACAATACAGGAATCATCCCTGATAAATGGCTAGAATCAGAATTCATAGCGATACCTAAAAAACAGGGGGCTAAAAAGTGCGAAGAATATCGAACATAGCTAATGAGCCACATGTTGAAATTGTTTCTTAGAGTCATCCATGGAAGAATTTATAAGAAGTGCGAGGAACAAATATCGGACAGACAGTTCGGCTTCATTAACGCAGTGGGTACCAGATAGGCACTTTTTGGAGTACAGGTACTGATTCAAAGATGCAGGGACGTTAACTGCGACATATACGCGTGCTTGATCGACTATGGAAAGGCATTTGACAGAGTTCAACATCAAAAGATGATAAACATTTTAAAAGAGGCAGACCTGGATGACAAAGACCTCAGAATAATTTCAGAACTCTACTGGAATCAGACCGCATACATGAAAATTAACGGAGAAGAAACAGATCACATAAAAATACTACGTGGAGTTAGACAGGGATGTATCCTATCGCCGTTGATATTTAATATGTACTCAGAGAAAATTTTTAACGAGGCTCTTTACGGAATAGACGAAGGCATCCTTCTAAATGGTGAAAGAGTAAACAATGTTAGATATGCCGACGACACCATGGTGATAGCAGATAGTTTAGAGGGACTTCAGAGGCTAATGGACAGAATAAACGAGTACAGTCAACAGTACGGACTAAACATTAATACCCACAAAACGAAACAAATGATTATCAGCAAGGAGAATATAAATGGGGCTCATATATACATTAATGGGACGCAGATAGAGCGAGTAAAACAGTATTGTTACCTGGGAACTATTATTAACGAACAGTGGAGCAATTTACAGGAAATAAAGTGCCGCATAGGAAAGGCAAGAACGGTCTTTAACAAAATGAGCGCCATCTTCAAAAGTCACAACATATCCCTTGATACAAAAATGAGACATTTGAGATGCTATGTTTTCTCTGTGTTGTTGTACGGGGCGGAGGCATGGACGCTTACAGACGCCACTATTAAAAAACTTGAAGCATTTGAGATGTGGCTTTATAGAAGAATGCTGAGAATATCATGGACAGCAAGGATCACGAACAAGGAAGTTCTAGGAAAAATGAAGAAGGAACCAGAGATTGTGTTTACGATCAAACGCATAAAATTGCAATATCTGGGACACGTTATGAGAAATCAGCACCGTTACTCCCTGCTACAGTCTATATTGCAAGGTAAAGTCAAAGGTAAGCGAGGACCCGGTAGAAGGAGAATATCATGGCTGCGGAATTTAAGAACATGGTTTAAGAAAACCTCAACGGAGCTGTTTCGAGCCGCAGCGAGCAAGGTTATGATTGCCAATATGATTTCCAACATCCGAAACGGATAGGAACCAGAAGAAGAAGACTGTTTCTTGTTCTTGTGGTAAGAATGTTGTTTTGCATTGTTTTCTTTAATTACTCAATTTAGACCAGTTCACATTTCAATATTATAAAGAATGAGGCAGATATAGGCACTTATGTGGTCATGAAGATATATTTGACTCAACTTGTTAAATGCTGATCTTATAATTCAGTTCTTCCCCTAATGTCTTATGTTACTTGAGTTCTGGAGGTATTTTCATTAATATGGGCAATAACATAAAATGTATAATGGATCCATACCTTTTCTAACTATACATGTACATTTTGAATGCATTGTATGTATTATACATTTTATGTTAATCTAAATGCTAAATTCCTTCTCACTTATATCTTATTAACAAGTTTTAATTATTTTCCACATACATCAAATTTAAATGACATTGCATTATACAGGATAAACCTAGCCTTATTAAACCACAGCATAGCAACCTGTTAATTCTAATTATAGACACACATATCAAAAGATTGACAACAGATAACAATCCAGCCTAAGGCACATAAAAGTCATAATGACGTTCCGGATTCGGGTATAACCAATTAATAAAACCAATAATTAATTAATAAACGATTACTTACCCTCAAAGTCCCCGGTGTCTGCAACCACTGTAGTCAGGGCTTTAAGTTGTTCCAGCGTGTTGGACATCTTTTTGGCCTTTTTCGCGTGCGGCTCTGTTATCACCCCGACGTGTAATCCTACTTCTGACATGAGGAAATTAACTGTCGCAGAAAAAGGTCAAAAAATCAAAATCTGGATGGTCACGGTAGCGCAGATTGTACCACCACCTAGTACTTAACTACAGAACGAAATAACCGGTACGATGATAAGCTGATTTTGTAATAGACTTGAAAGTACAAGTAGAGGTTATCAGACTTAATTATCTTACAAGGTTTAATGTAAATACTTAAAGGGGAATGGAAATTTTTGGTGAAGGTGATCTACTACCTGCTGGATTACAAAGTCACGGTCTCAGCGGATGTGATATATAGACATATAAAACGGAAATGTTGAATAATACACAATAAGTTTTTTATTTTTTAGTATAGAAACTTTGATATTACACAATTTTTTAAATACTCTGAACTCTGAACCTGAAGATCCAACAGGTTGTTTAAACACACGTAAACGTCACTTTAGAAATGAATATGTCTAATATCCAGATAGCGGGTAAATTGATCATCTAATAATATTTATAATTTATTAATTTATGACATTATAAACCTTACTCATTCCACTTAAAGTATTATAAAACATGTTTATAACATTTCAGTTAATGAAGTAATAACAATATTAAAATTAAATTGAAACATATTAAATACGTATACAATGGTAATTCTGGTTGCATAGATTCTGGTGGCTGTCATATAATATTCTTCAGCAATTATAATCTTTTAAAAGAATATTTTTATTAACTCAAGAACATTGGACCCACATGATCTTAGATTTATAAAAATGGCCCATTAATACACTTTTAGTAAACTAAGTAATTTGGCTTATTAAGTTATGTAAACGCTACTGTAATTTTAGTCATTTTATAGGAATGATATTTGTCACTTGTCACCTACTTGATTGTCGCCGCCTGCCGGCCGGCGCCGGCGCTTATCGATTTGTTTGAATACAAAATTCAAACTTGGTTTTATTTAGTTCCATAATAGGAAAATGACAAAAACAAAATTATTGATTTTTCATGATGATAAATATGTTACATTTTTTAAACCTATTTAAACTGCCCATTTTTATAACAGAAAAATATTTATTGTGCCTTTTTATTTGACAACTGCTTGGATCTATATAAGAAGTCTGCTATAATAGTAAAAATTAGCTTACCTAAAATAGTGGATAATTACTTGTTTCTTTTGAATTATTCTGTCTGGTGCCAGCCAGGTTTTGTCAACTAATCATTTGAATATTTTTTTTATTAAATCAAACAACATAACAGAGAAAAACTTTATTTATAATACAACAATTATATTCTTATATAAAACAAAAATGCATATCAAAATCCCAAACAGATTTTCTCAAAAAAAAATCACAAATATAAACCCATTCATAAATTTTTAATTTCAAAATAGGAACAATAAGAAAAATAGAGTAAATATACTCACATATATTTATTTATTTTATTCGTATGTTTAGGCATAGACAAAATTTTAATGGAAAATTCAAAATGGTCTTAATATTTCTTCTGGCTCTTATAATATTTTTCTCATTACTAAACTATTTTTATCTTTGCAGGAGACAGAGAGAACATAATAGGTATTCTTGAACTTGCTCAAATAAGATTTAATAGCTATATATTGATAAAATGTTTTCTAATAATTTCCAGATGGTCTGGAAACCTGCATCTTTACACATGCATTTCGAAATACGCCGCTTATTTGAACTTAGCATTTGATAAAGGTGTAAATCGAATTTTTCTTGGATTTGATCTTCAATCAAGGCATGTCGCGCTTCAAAATTTGAAAGGAAAACAACAACTAATTATAATTTTATGATTTGGAATAAAAAAGGTTATAACAATAACTATTCAGCTCCACTAGACTGTTTTGACGCCGATTTAAGGAAAAAACGTCCTGTTTTTTTACGCAACAAATTTTTTCATCAAAACACTCCCGCCTACAACGCAGTCGTTGCACAAGCAGAGTTTCACCAATTGGAATATGGATTAATCGATAACCAACTTATATAAATTATTTTTTTCTCCAAACTGTCGCCGAAGAATTCATTTTCAACCGAACTATAAGACTATATCCATAATATCATGCTGCTTTTGGAAAAATCAAAAAATTCCGCATTTTATGACATGAGAAACCACTATCGTAGATACCTATAGTTCCTTGACCTATACATATGCAATAGCCCAAGTTTTGTCTACGTTGGTCTTGGTATTGTCAAAATGGCTTTGATGGCTTTCAAACAGATATTTATGTACATAAATGAATTGTTATATTATGCAAATAGGGTCTAGAGGGTCTGTAGGTGTCTAGATATATACGAGACATTTCTGGCGGTTGGTATTGTTCAAACTGGATGTTAGACTCGTTCAAATGAATCTTATTGGTGATATATTTTTGCATGAGTATGAACGAACACTGTCTTTCATATCACATGTAAGCAGTTACTACTTGTATGTATTTTTTGGCAACAACTGGTCCCAGAAAAAATATTTAAACATTCTGTTTAACATGTTTTAAATTCATTAACAGTTCTTAACGTATACAACAATTGAATTTTTTATTTTGAGATGATTAACGAACACTGCAATCTTATGAATCTTTTAACAAACACCACAAAGGTCAGCCAATAAAGGATATATAAACGCTTGTAGAATAATAAATAATACACTCGGGATTGGTATTAAGACATTTTATTATTTTAAGTTCCTAGATAACATAAACCCAACCCTTTATTCTAGAATACTAGTGCAGAATATTTCTGTATTTTCTTACTTTCCTTTCTGGTATCATTTACTTTTTGTTGTTACTTACTGAACCTGGGTGTTTGTGAAAAAATCCACCTCCTTATAACCTATTTTCCCGTTCTTTCGAATACATATATACAACATTTCTTAATAACTAGCATTGTTCCCCTTCATTGAGATGCTCATTCTCCTGCTGGCTCTCGATGTGAACCCGCTGAGATCGGTCGAGAGACTAGGCGGGGGATATCGCCATCTCCAGGGCTTCTGATGGATGAGGCCGTCGGTTGAAGCTCGCTCCCGAAACGGCGTAGTCGGTTCGGGTGGACTGGAGGTGGCGCTATCATTGGTTTCTGATTCGTCCTGCTCTACCAGTTCGTCTTCTGTCCATCTTCTCGCTAAAAATCAACAAAACAATTAAAATTTATAAATAAATAAGTATAATGTAGTATACACCAGTGCTACCCAACAAATGACCAAGCCATTAAAAAGGTTCAAAATAATAACCAAGATCTGATCAAATTTGCAGTGAGATCTACAAGGATTGTGGCGATCTCTGATACAGATATTGCATAAACTGTTATTTCTTATCTGGCAACAAAATCATACCATGCCTTATGGTCTAAAGGCGTGATATGCCCATGACATAAAAAAGGCGTCTATCTCCAGTGTGACAACTAACCTAAACGCAGAATAATGGAAAACTTTTGAGAATATTCAAGCGTAAAATACTCCGCAAATTATTTAGAGGAATAACCGAACAAGAGCAGTGGCACAAAAGATATAACTTCGAATTATACCACCACTCTTTACTTCACTAACACAAGTCGACTCAGATGGGCTTGACACATAATCAGACAACACGATCGGTAAAAAGCTAACCACATGAAGACATCTAGAAAGAAGAAGATGAACCGCCCCCAAAATTAAATGGTTGGATGGAATTAAAACCGACTTGGGAGTATTAAAAATTAGATCACAAGTCGCCAGAACCCGAAGCGAATAGCGACGTATCTTGGAGCAGGCCAGGATCCACAGAGGATTGTCGGTTAAATATGGATTTCATACATTGAACATAACCTATAGATATAATTCCATTTTCCAATGACATGGTTGGGTTGAGCTGATAAGTGTCATTAAACAGCATCGTGACATATATCGCCAGCATGTTGTAGATACAATGGGACGTGCTAAAGGCATCAGCATTTCGAGACTTCCTGCTTACCATTGCGAGTTAAACCCGATATAATTAATCTGGGCTCAAGTAAAGGATTACATATGGAACGGATTACATATGGAACGGATTACATACGGAACGGATACGGAAAAAAGATTGGGCTAATACCATATCCCATGTGATCAAGGAAGAAGAAAATTGTGGAGATTGAACGGGAATGTAGATACTGTTTTCGACAAAATATTAATAGACTTAAGTGTGAGTCGGGTCCCTTCGGATGAGTCGCTGGATTCAGAAACTTCATAACCATAACTTCAGTAATTATTTCTTTGCTTTGTAGTTCTTCTATATAAATGGAATATAATAATTATTTTGCAAAGTTTTCTGTTTTTTAAGTACTATATTAGGTACTCTATAATAACAATAAAATTGACGTTATTTTGTTAGACATCTATAATATACCTGCCAAAACATTTAGAGGAAATTGAAGATCATTTGGAAGATGAATTTGATGCACGTATTTCAGAAATTTTGGCGGTAGAAAGTCCAGAACCAACTACAAGTCAAGATAGTCTGCAACATAACACAACAGTTTATCCAAATAACGGTAAAAAATGGTATCTAAAACCTTTTCATTGTATATCAAGTCAATCAAATCTTACGACTAACGATTTATGGCTAAGCAGTTTGGTGCTTGCGGCTCGGTGATTATCTCCTTAGTTAGATCCTTACCGGCACTGCGTTGCGTAACGTGCCTAAACAAAACGGACCATTATGAAAGTTTGTTTTAGAGTTATAGAGTAGATGTCTATTATAAATGTACATTCCTAATAAACCTGACAAATATAGGCTCAAAATAGAAACAATGTGTGATGCCAAGACATATTACATGTGTTCAGCCAAGCCTTACCTGGGAAGAGAAGTCCGTTGTTCACAATATTTAATTTCAACACAATATGTACTGTATCTTACAAGTGATATATATGGAACCAATAGGAACTGCACCATGGATAACTGGTTCACTTCGTATCAAGTATCGGAAGTGTTAAGAGAAAAAGGCCTTACTGTAGTAGGAACGCTTAGAAAAAACAAGCCAGAAATACCACTACAACTAATTGAAACAAAAGGAAAACAAAAAAATGATGATGGAAAGTTTCATCATCTCTATGAAAAACATTTAGTGTCATTCGTTCAAAAAATAAATAAAAATAAAAACATATTCTTTTATCGTCTATGCATACTCAAGATGATGAGATGAAAAATCGAAAAGCCATAGATAATCTTGTTCTACAATAGTACAAAAGGTAGTGTAGATACGTTTGATCCACTCTGCCATTTAATAACAGTATCCAGAAAAACTTGTAGATGGCCATTGCGAATTTTCTATGGCATGTTGGATATTGCAGGAGTCAACAGTTACGTTCAAACTTTTTAAAGGAGCTGTCGTTCATTTTGGTAAAATATTGTTTAAAATAACGAATGTATAATAATTATTTGCCAAGACAAATCCGCAGCAGTATCAAAGGCATTTTAAATTATAAAGATGAAGAAATAATAGAACAAATACAAAGGCCCCAATGTTGAATAGGTTGCTGTGACTTTTGCCCAAGAAGCAGAAACCAAAAAGCGCGCGATAAATGTGAGCACTGCCCGAAAATGATTTGCGCCCAACACCGCCTTTTATTTTAAGTTTCTCATTTTTTATTTATACCAAAACATTTTTGTATAAAATATATGAATATATATGTTTATATCCAAAAATACAAACACTTTATTTAAAAAATAATGTACTTTTGTTATGATTTACGGCCAGTTCTCTTGGAGTCATTTACGACGCCACGTTGTTATCGTAATCCTACTTTCACGTTGTTGTTCTAAGGTTTTAAGCTTAGGTATACTTACCCTCCCAACACATCAAAAAAATAAAATCGCGTCGTATTAGAAATGCACGCTAAGGCTGTAGCGAAATAATTATAAAATATTATAATTCATTTAAAATTACTTCTTTACTTGAGCCTGGCGTAAACAAGTTGAGCGATATCCTAATATCTTGTATCTTGTTGTACTTCCTGCAGCGCAGAAACGACAAATTAAACGTTCTGATCGATTTTAAATGTCGCAATGTATATTTCTTGTTCGTCACGTAAAAAAGCTCAAAGAGAAGTTTCAACGCCATCAGCGGAAACGCAAATTTCAATTCCAAAGTCAATATTTGATTAGCGGACTTTGATTGCCACCCTCTCGGCATTTATTCGCCACATAAAAAAGTTGAAAACAGGAAATATCTTTTGAGCTGCAATGTTACCATGTTTGGCGAGGTATTTATACGTTTTTGTATTTGTGTATTTTGTGGTTAAACTCATTTATTAGTCGAAAATGTGGTTTTATTGGTCTTGGTGTTTATTAATAGCTGTCATTTTGTCTCCGCCTATACATGTAGAAATCAAACGCACCAGATAATAGGCCAGTCAAATAAAATTGTAATACATGTAAAAAGTAAAGTACAATTCTGTAAAAGCTTATGAGCCTCTAAGGCTGTGAAAGCTCAGAATCAGACGACAATGATGTGAGACGTATAGGTAAACCAGCGAAAACAAAGGTAAAAGAGAAAGCTATTACTACTCTTACGACTAGTGGGACAATAACAAAAAATCTTTTTAATGACGATTTATCCCTAAGCAGTGATGCATGCAATTCCAATGAACATAATGAAGTTACCATGAAATGCTCTGAAATATTGCCAGAATACGAAAGACAAAAAACCTTCAACTCATACTGGACTGAGACAAACGTTTCAGATGTTAAAAAGCAATTTATCTTCTCATGTGTCGACATCCAACCTACTCTTCGATCAAGAAAAAGAGACCCAAACTCTACCAACTCTAAAAATAATAAAATAAAATAGAATATATGTAGGTTGCGTTTCGATTTAATTTGAGTCTCCCACCATTCTCTTACACGTGTTTCTGGGTCTAACCGACATCAGAGAGAGTTTGTGAGAAGACTCAAACCAAATCAAAACGCACCCACTACTAAGGCAATTATAGAAAATAATTACCAGAGTATGCTATTAGAGACCTCTAGTGAGGATAACATAATAAATCTAAAAATAATACACTACACTACAATTTTACAGTGAACAATCAGCGATTAAAGGTGTGCAAAGTTATGTTTTTAAACACAGTTTGTATATCTAATTTAGTAGTAGCGAATATGTTAAAAACATTGAGCCAGGAGGTTTAATAAAAGCTGATCAAAGAGGTAGATACACGCCAATCAATAAAACTTCTACCGAAACCATAAATAGTATACATCAACATATCAATTCCTATCCAAAGTACGAGAGTCATTATTCCGGAGAAAGGAACAAGAAAAGTTATCTGAGCACAGAACTTACAATAGAAAAGTTGTATCAACTGTACATTGATGAATGCAATGAAATACATGTGGATCCAAAGCTAAGAGCAAAAAAGTGCAGATATTTTAATTAAATATTTCAAGTTTTATTAAATACATGCAGTATATTAACCGCTCAAATGAAAAGAATCTTACTGCAGATGAACTAACCAGTGTACAGGCTGATCATGATGCTCACCTAATTGAATCTAAAACTCTGTATAACTTAAAACAATTGGACTTTATAATAGCTAAAGAGTCACCAAAACACAAAATACTATTTGGTGATTTGCAAAAATGTTTGCCCTCATCACTAACAAAAAATTGAATTAGTTTTTACAAAAGGAAGCTTTGGACATTAAATTTTACATTATATAATGCCAATGATTCTTCTGTACAATGTATCATGTGGGACGAATCGAAGGGCCCTTGGTGCAGATGAAATTGCCTCGTCAATTTTAAAATGGGCTAACAGTACAATTCCAGGTAGTCAAGTAGAGGACATCACTCTTTGGACCGATAACTGCTATGGACAAAATAAAAATATAAGTATTATAATGTGCTATTTTTGGATACCTCATACGTACCCTCACATAATGACGATCACTTAAACGTTTTTACTGAAAGGGCACACTCACATGGAAGCAGATAGTGTTCATGTTTTGATCGGAAGAAAAAAAGAAGCTCTCCAATTTGGCCATTTTAACACCATGCGATTGGCAACAGCTAGTTAGGCAAACATCAGGTAAATACACAGTGTACAATATGGAACTTGCAGATTTCAAAAACTTCAAATCGTTGTTCGATAACAAACTGTCACCTAAT